TTTTTTTTTTTTTTTTGGTACCAGAGATCAAACTCTTTCGAGGCGGGCAGCTGAACCTCTCTCTGAGTTAAATCCCCGTTCCACTGGCCTACATTACTCTGTGGGGTTTTTGTGTTTTGGTTTGGTTTTTGAGACAGCATCTTGCTGATTGCCCAAGCTGGACCTGAACTTGGGATCCTCCTGCCTCAGTCTCTGAGGGTACTGGGGAATACAGGTATATGCCACTACACCCAGCTACCAAAAAATTTTGTTCTGTTTTTTGCTTTTGGTGGTGCTCTGGGATTGAAACCCAGACCCTTTGCACTAAGCTACATCTTTTTATTTTGAGACAAGGTCTTGCTAAGTTGCCCAGGCTGGGCTCAAACTTGTGACTCTTCTGCCTCAACTTTCCAGAGTGCTGGAGTTACAGGCATGTGCCACTATGCTTGGTTTACTAAGAAATTTTAAGGAGAGCCGGGTGTGGTGGCGCACGCCTGTCATCCCAGCACTCTGGAGGCTGAGACTGGAGGATCGCTGTGAGTTCAGACCAGCCTGGGCTACACAGTGAGCTCCAAGTCAGTCTCAACTACACAGTGAGACCCTGTCTCAAAAAACAAAACACATTTTTAAGGGATTCATTTTTTAACTCCACGGTAGACCTACCAAGATAGCCAGCCCTCCAGCTCTCAGCGTGGTGCTGGTGACAGATGAGGCCAGGCTCTGATGAGGCACAAGAAGAGTGCTGTCGTCTCACTTCCTGGTCCTTTCCTTTTATTTATTTTTTCGTTGTTTGTTTTGTCTTTTGAGATAGGGTCTCACTTTGTAGTTCAGGCTGGCCCTGAACTCACTATGTAGCCCAAGCTGTGCTCAGACTCTCGGCCATCCTCCTGCCTCAGTCTTTTAAGTGCTAGCATTACAGGTGTGCACCTCCACGCCTAGCATCCCTTTCCTTTTTTTGCCCACTGTTCTGCAGGACTTAACCTTACGATCCCTCCCTCAGTGTTCTCTCGGCCTGAGTGTTGAAAGCAGTGTGATCAAAAACTCACTCTGAGCCGGGCATGGTGGTGCACACCTGTAATCCCAGCACTCAGGAGGCTGGGGCAGGAGGATCGCTGTGAGTTCATGCCTGGTCTACATAGTGAGTTCCCGGACAGTCTCAACTACATAGTGAGGCCCTGTCTCAAAAAACAAACAAACAAACAAAAAACTCACTGTGGTCTGGTTTTGTTTTTCTTCTTTCCTTGCCCAGAAATGTTTGCAACACATGGAGATTCCTGTCCCCAAGGGCTTTCTGACTTCGTCCTTCTGGCGCTCCTGATAGCCTTTTGTCACCTGCCATCACCTTGTGTTGCAGAGAAGTAATAATAAAGCAACTGAAGGCAGCTGTATTTGGAAGAAGTCGGGTTAGAAATTTGTCCGTGTGCACTTTATGGATCTGTACCATGTGGCGAGGCGAGATTTTCACGGGAGCCTCCCTTAGTGCGTTGGGTCGCTCCTTCCAGTATCGGGGGGGACCGAGTGAATGAAATTGCCTTTCTTAATTTACAAAAATCCCGGGCAGAGGCCTTCACCACTTGGTCTCCTCTTTTGCTTCCCTTGCCTCCGGTCTGTATACGGAGCCGGGGGTGTCCTAACCACTCCACTCTGCCCCGGACCCCCCACCATCCTGCTCCTATGAAGGTTCACCCGCCAGCCTGGGGGGCGGTGGTTGGCCTTTCTTGGGTGGGGGGCGTGTTCCAGATGCAGAGTGAAGGTGTGCTGTGGGCAAGGGGCTCAGTCCCAGAGTGCACCGGGGGAGCGGGGTGTCCGGGGTGAGGACAGGAAGTGGGTCCCCCTGGGCCGCAGAGGGTCTTGTGTTCCCTTGCTTCGGAATCTGCTTCCTGCAGTGCTAGGGCTGCATGCACCAGAGCAGATGCGTACCGTTTTGGTTTTGGTTTGTGTTGAGGTGTGTTGTGGTCCAGTGTAGCGCACAACTGTGATCCCTGCACCCAGAAGGCTGAACGGGAGGGTCGCCGCCAGTGTGAGGCCGGTCTGGGCTATAGAGCGAGTGGAAGACAGCCGAGCCTCCGCAGTGAGACCCGGTCTCAAAAACTGGAAAAGATGGGCTGAAGAGCAGGGGTCAGGGTGGAGCGGAGCGGGAGGAGCTCGGAGCCGCCCTGTGGCTGTCACGATCTGAGTGACGAAGGGTGAGTGCTCTGCCTGCCTAGAGCCACTAGGAAATCCCGAGCAGGGCTGTTGGTGTGGAAGTGGAGGTTCGCCGTGGGGAAAGACTTGCCTGATGCCGCAGGTCTTGAGGTGCGGTGTCACAGGCACTGTGGAGTGGCTCAACGTGACCCGCTCTGTGAACTGTTGACTCTGGTAACAAAATAAGTAATAAAGCTTGGATTTAAACAAACAAACCCCTTGTGATGTACAGTTTGTTCAGTAGGATCGACTTCCTGTCCCCTGGTCAGATAAATATCTATATCAAGTCCAGATATAGAGTGATATGTGTTTCTTTTTTTGTCCTCTTGACCTTTACCTTAAAAAAAACTGCTTATTTTTGCCATTCCTGGTTTGGAATTAAGTACCAATAGCTGACTGCATTTTTTGTTTTTGAGAGCATCTTGCTTTGTGTCCTTGAACTCACTATGTAGCCCAGGCTGGCGTTGAACTTGCAGTGATCCTCCTGCCTCAGCCTCCCAAGTGTTGGGATCACAGACATGCACCACCATGGCTGGCAGCTGACTCTTACCTAACAAGAGAGAGGAGGGTCTTGGGATGCAGCCCAATATTAGAACACCTGCCTGGCATGTGCGAGGCCCTGGGTTCCATCTCCAGCATCCCTCCTACCCCCAAAAAGGAGAGGAGATGTGAAAATATTGTCAATTAATGTAGACACAGGCAGTGAACAGGAAGAAGGGGTCAGGACACCTGGGCTTCGCTCTAACATTCTGAACCTTGTTATTCCCACATGCAAAATAGGAAATGCCAGGCATGGTGGCATGTGCCTGCACTCTACTTAGGAGGCTGAGGCAGGATTGTGAGTTCGAGGCCAGTGAGACCCTTTCTCAATAAAGGAACGGGACTTGTCACAGGAGTGTCCAGGTTATCCTCGGTGGTAGCAGCTCCTTGAGGCCGAGTTTCCTAGCCTGCGTATTCTGCAGTCTGACCTCAGTCTGACCTCAGCCTGTGGGGCTTCGGGACAGGGCCTGCAGTGGGTTGGAGGCTCCCTACCGGTTGCCACTTGGCAGGAAGTAGGCTGGACAGTGTTGAGTGCAGGATGGTGGAGGGAACTGGAATGGTGGTGCTGAGCCCTTGGCAGAGGGAGGCTCTGCTGGTTCTAGAAAGCAGCCCTTCAAGATGCCACTACCCTCTGCGGGGAATTAGCTCGTTCATCAGTGCCCACCAGAGCCATGCAGCCCACATTTAGCACAGCTATGAAGTGGGCCATTCAGGAGCTCTGGGGTCCCCTGGCACAACATCTTCGCTCTGTGGGCTGTTTATGGGGTTTCATGTAAGATTAGACAGAAATCGCTCTGTCAGAACTGAAACGTGAGCCACGCCTGTCTGCACACCTGTGTTCCCAGCACTCTCGGAGGCTGAGGCAGAAGGATGGCGAGTTTGAGCCCAGTCTGGTCAACTTAGCAATTTAGTGGATCCCTGTCTCAAAAGATGAGTTGGAGATATAGCTCAATGCAAAGGCCCTGGGTTCAGTCCTCAGTAGGACAAAAGAGATGCATGCAGTCTTCCCTTTGCCATTTGATGCTGATATTCCTGGCGAATTCTCAGGTAAACCAAGAACAGGGCCCGCGGGAGGCCAGGGTTCTGATATCCCTGGTAGTGTCGCCTCTGAGACCTTGCAGCAGGAGGAGGGGGAGCATCAGATTCCTCGCCATAGATGCTCTGCTCGGGGCCGCACTGGCTTCCAGCTTCATTCGCTCCTCTGCTTGTCTCCCTCTGCCTTGGCCTCGGCCCCGTGCCATGCCTCTCGGTCCCATCAGTGGCCCGCGTCACCAAGGAGGGTGGAAACTGCGGGTCTGTGGTGCAGAAGGGCGCTGCTGCCCTGGGTGTTCCCGGGTGCTGCAGCTTCCCAAGCCAAAAAGACATCAGTGACAGTGGTCTTGAGTCCATTAATTTCTAGCCAGATAGAAGGTTGATACGAAACATGTTTTGCAAAATACTTGCTCCTCGCATGGAGTAAGTGACTGGGGCAGAAATGTAATTCACTGGGAGAACGTGACCGAGTTCTCGGAGTTGAGTTTAGGGTCAGAAACACAAAAGAGATTCATTTCATCCAGGGTAGGTACCAAGTGTGTTTCTGCAAGGTCCTACAAAAGAGTTTGGCAGCCAAATAAGTTTGGGAAATACGTTAAAGGTAAAGCAGCCAGGCATGTTAGCTCGTGTATGTAATCCCAGCTGTCTGGGAAGCTGAGGCAGGAGGAACTCAAGTTTGAGCCCAGATGGCACATTAGAGAGACCTGTCTCAAAGGTACAAAAGATGGTCTACCTGGATGTAGCTCAATTCAAAAGCCCTGGGTTGGGGCTGTGCACGGTGGTACATGCCTGAAATCCTAGTACTCAGGACCCCGAGGCAGGAGGATTGCTATACATACAAGGCCAGCCTGGGCCACATAGCTTGAGGCCAGCCTAAACTACATAGTGAGACTGTCTCAAAACCCAAAAGTTGATCAGGTTGGGTTGGAGGGGTATGCAGGTACAGCACCCGCACTCTGACCCAGAGGAAGAGACTTACTGAAGGGTCAGCCATGCATTCACCAACAGCTGACCCACAGCTGAATTCCACTGAATTCCAGCTTCCACTTGAATTCCAAAGCCCGAGGAACCAGGTTGCTAATTCGGGCTTCCTGGGCTGGAGAAAGATGGCGATTCCAGTCCCAGATTCCAGTCCCAGCTGGCAGGCAGCAAGCAGCAGGGGTGCAGTTCCTCCTCCCTCTGACTCCATTCTTCTATCATATTGGCAATACCCATTCCCAGGGTGTGGGGGGTGGAATTCACTGAATTCACTGAATAGATTTAAGTGCTATTCTCATCCAGAAACATCTTCACAGATGCCCAGAAAGAATGTGCAGTCTGGGCACCCCAAGGCCCAGTCAAATTAACAGTTAAAGCTGGGTGTGGTGGTGCACGCCTATAATTCCAGCACTCGGAAGGCTGAGGCAGGAGGATCACTGTGAGTTCAAAACCAGCCTGGGCTACATAGTGAGTTCCAGGTCAGTCTCAACTACATAGTGAGACCGTGTCTCAAAAAAAAATTTTTTTTTTGACACTAAAATTTAACCATCACATGGCGTGGTGGCACACACATATATTCCCAGCACCCAGGAGGCTAAGGCAGGATCGCTGCTTGTTCAGTGGCAGCTTGGGCTACACAGTGAGTTCAAGGCCAGCCTAAACTATATAGCAAGACCCTGTATCAAAAATAAAAATTGGGCCGGGAATTTAACTCAGTGGTTCTGGTGTCTTCCTGGAAAGCACAAGGTCCTGAGTTTGATCCCTGGTACCAAAAAATAAAAATAAATAATTAATAGTTAATTCATTATATTACCTTATTTACTGTATCTTTGAAATCTTTCATAATCAGCTTAAGGATGGTGTAGGGGTATAGCACTTGTCTGGCATGTGTGAGGCCCTGGATTTGATCCCAGCACCTCAAGACAACAAAACAAATGAACAAAAACTTAGAGATGAAAAAAAATTTTTTTTTCTAACAATACTTTTTGGTGCACTAAGCATGAACACTTTTTTGTTTTGGTATCAGGGATTGAATTTGGGCACTTGCGCTTGCGAAGCAGGCTGCTGAACCACTGAGCCGAATCTCCAGCCCAATGCACACTTTTTTATATGCATTTTATTTTGTTTTTTGAGACAAGGGCTTGCTGTGCAGTTTAGGCCAGCCTTGAACTCACTATGTAGCCCAGGCTGGTTTTGAACTCTTGGCAATCCTCCTGCCTCAGCCTCCTGAGTGCTGGAATTTTAGGCATACACCACCACACCTGGTTTGTAACCATGATACTATGAGTTATTAATCTCATGTTTTCACTATTTACCAAGGCTTCTGTTGGGCTCAGTGTTTTGGGAATACATACTTTAATGCGTGTGTGTGTGTGTGTACGTGACAGGGTTGGAACCCAAGGCCTTGTACATGTTAGGTAAGCACTCTACCTTGAGCTACATCCCCAGGCCTGGATTCCATCTCTGAAATGCTTTCTTTTCTTGGGGGTCAGAGTGGTCAAGAAGGTATACTGGAAATATGTGAGCCAGATACTTAAAATTATCCTGAGTCTTTAGAAAAAGAAAAAAGATTCAAAAATCCCTTTATCCTGAGCAACCATTGTGCACACTCTCTCAGCAGTCTCTCTGTATACAGCCACAGATGGATAAATATAATTCTG